ATAAGTACAGTCCATTTACCATTTACCATACTAGTTGGCAAATTCTTTTTTGTCTGTTAACCTGTTTAGCCCTGAGCCTGTTTTTCAGGTCTCAGGCTTGAAAATGACATTCCCAGAACAAAGGACCATATCTTCCCTTCTAAAAGGGGAACATTAATAATCTGTGTTCTCAAAGTAATGATAAACCTGTGAGTTGGATGTAGAAGAGTCAGAATCAATATAGATGTTTTTTATTTTAAAGAAAATTCAGATTGAACATAATAAAAAACTGTAAATGATAGTGTCCGTCCAAAAGTTCTTTTTTACTTGTAGTGAAAACTACCCTTGGATGATGGGTTAGTAGACTACAAGCTTTAGGAATCCAACATATAATAAGTACCCTGTATCAAGATTGATGCAAAACAAGTGATATTTGACCTTTTTAGAGAGATTTAGAAAAAAGCCACCTCTGGGGTGATCTTGGTGGATTTTCCATATCTCTGGCCCCCCTTGTTCGATTTTGGTGATTGACATCTCTTTCTGACCGTTAGAGCCAATAGAATCGAAGGGGGATTTCCCCCCACACACACCCGGTAAACAAAAAGGTGCGGGCTTCGCGCACGCGGTTTTGCATCAGAGTGCAGAGTATCTCTCGCTCTGACATCTGGAAACGGAAAAGCAGATTTATTGCTTATGGATTATCAGAAATAATTCAAAGGGACACAGACACATTGGATTAACCTATGGATTAACTTCAGCAGCGTTTTTATCGTTTTAATGCCATTGAAGACCACTTTTGACCAGACTACGACCAGTGTTGGGACTAACGCGTTACAGTAACGCCATTATTTTTGGCAGTAACTAGTACTCTTAACGCGTTATTTTTTAAATTCAGTAACTCAGTTACCGTTACTACATGGTGCGTTACTCCGTTATTTTTTTTATATAGTCTCGGCTCCCAGACGTTGGTGAGCGGCGCCAACAGCGAGGCGAACAGAGATGAGAACTGTACTTAAGTACTTGAGTAAATGTACTTAGATACTTCCTGTGTCACATGCGGAGACGCGCTGTGGGCGTGTTTCTGTTTACTAACAAGACTATCATGGCGGCGGCGGAGGAGCTCAAGTCGAGTTTCTCCGCCTGGAGATATTCTCACTATTTCACTTTTGTCGAGCACAAAGAAAAGAAGGTTTTAGTTAAATGTAAGTTGTGTCTTGGCGGGTCAAAGATCCTATCTACTGCCCAAAACAGCAATTCAGATCTGTTGAAACATCTGCAGAAACAACATGCTGGGACGAAGCTAGTAGCTAAGACCACAGACCCAGACTCATCCGACGCCACTCCGCCTCCACCTCAGCAACAGCGGCTGGATTTGAACCGAGGGACTGCTAGCCAGGGAAAAGTTGATAAAGCCATTGCACGGTTGTAGAACACATGCAGGCTATTTCTACTATTTCTATTTATATTTCTTGATCAACAGATTGTATTATTCTCCAATGCAATAACAGTACTGAAATGAAGGCTATAAGGGCATTAATGGGAGCCCTTTAAGTAACTAACGCGTTACTGTTCACAGTAACTCGTTACTTTTGGGTGTAAGT